GTTAGTAATGACAGTGGAGGTTGCCATGAGAAAACTTAGTGGAGGGAGGGGAGATAGAATGAGAAAAATAAGATACATACAGTCAACATCATGATATTGCATTATTTGCTACTGTTGTTCTGTCCTGTCTATTTGAATTGTAAGGTCTTTATAAGGCCAGATACCTTAGTAATATTACCTGTTTGTTTCATGGCATCTAGCACAAGATGCTAATAGAAAACAAATATTTGATTAAAACAATAAATCTTCTGGCTCTTTCAGTCAGTACACAGCAGGACACAATGACAATGCTATGTTTATGCCAGGCAGTTTGTTAAACACACAGAGCCTGCACAAGATAGTCTGAACCCTCTGTCCTCTGCAGTTCATAGAATCATAGAATCAATGAGTCGGAAGGGACCTAGACAGATCATCTAGTCCGACCCCCTGCCATGGGCAGGAAGGAGCAGTGCGGGTGGCAGGGGTCATAAGACCCCAGCCAGGTGCCTATCCAGTCTCCTCTTCAAGCAGAAATATGGAAAAGAGCATTCTCAGACTTGCAGAGGGACAGGGGTATGGGCATTCAGCAGGCTATGTATAATGTAAACCCTGGCCAACTGTGTCACAAACTAGAGCTTTGGAGAGGACCCAACTGATCAAGCAAATAACGCTTAAATATTTAACTGCTGTAATGACATAAGTAAATATCTCCACATTACTAGAGCAAGTTGAGGTCAGGAATTTGTTTCCTCAGTCATGCATTTCCTTGAGGTCACAGCCCTTTTCTATGGACTATTTTGGCACTTGACATTTACTACACACCACCTGTGTTAATTTGGAAGGCGGGGTGGTGGTGGAATCTCTTTTTGAAGGCTAGCCTGTACTCAAGTACATTCAAATAAGTGCAACTCAGGAAAATGACTTTATTTGCAGATCCTGTTTGGATCTACAAATATCTAGGCTGAAAGAGTAACACAGATATGATTGATTAGTTGGACCAAGTTCCTTCTATATTTTGGCTTTCCCTGCCTTATTTTCACAACGCGCTCTGTCTACAGTAATGATGTCCATGTTTGTACTCCCTCCCATAAAACTCGCACATTAATTTGTACAAATGAGAAGGTTCAAGTGTATTATTTGTCAATTAGCCAGGAAAACTAGAATGCTGAGTATCTTATGGCATAACTTGTATCTTATTTTGAAATAGAAGCATCATACCCAGTGCTTTGAACTAAACGTAGTGTGTATTTCTTTGCAGCTCAGTACCATAAAGATGTTGAACAAGAGAAATTTAAAGAACTTATGGCAGTAGGATTAAAGAGCTATATATTTGTTTTGGTTTTCACTTGGATAAAGGGGGAATACATTTGCCTACAAGTATCACAGTAGTGCATTCATCAAAGAAAAGAAGGAATTAGAGCGGTTAAATGAATTATAAGTAGAATGACATTGAGCAAAGGGCAGGTTAGCCTGATACCTTTTGTTAGCAGTGGTTTATGAAGATCTTGCTACATTACAGTTTTAGCATACCAACACCCCCCCCCCCGATAGAGTTAGCCTCATCTGTGTTCTAATATTTTGTGGGTTTTACTATGGGTAAGACAACAGGATTATTAGTACTGTGCTAAAGAATCTTATTTGAGGTCATATTAAAATACAGGTGCTCCTAACTGTCAGACAATAATGGAATACTTTGGTTATAATCTTAGTATAGATGGTGCCGTGAATTAAAAGTGGAATTAGTGGAAACCTCAAAACTTGAATCAATTAAAAATGGATGTACAGTGCACTTGAGAATATAGGGAACAATTCTGTCCTGAGAGGTGGTTAAGATGACCTAAAATGAGCTTTTCCATTATTAATATGTAGGCCAAATTGTGCCTGCTTGCATTCATGCCTAACTCCTGTTGATGTGAAAGTAATAGTTGGCCTGTGCTTCACAGAGAAAAAAAAAACACTAGGTGAAGCAAGCAATTGCATCTTAGAGGGAAAATTTGTTTTAAGGCTGTAGATGCCAAAATAAATTGAATGTGGTACTGATTAACTGTACACAATAACTGCCAAGCTTTGTAATTCCCTTTTAGGGTCAAAGTTGGCTCACCTTGTTGAAGAACCCAAGAAACAGATTATTTTGAACCAGTAGTTCTCAACTTTTTTGTATTCAAGGCACCCCTCATTGGAATCGAGACACCCCTCCATAACTTTTGTGAATTGAGTGGCATCCAATTTCAAAAACTAATTTATATATTACACTTATTACCTTTTTGCACAGAGGTTGAACAGTAGGGATGGAGAATCATCCAGGCAGGGGCAAGCCTGAGCCTGTGCTTATCTGCTTAATTCATCTGCTTATCTTCTCATACCTTGCTTATCTCCTCACACCTCAGGTCACCCTTCAAAGGGTCTGGTGGCACTCCAGGGTTAAGAATCACTGTTTTAAGCAGATCTGGTTTAATGCAAAGTAAATTGGCAAGACATGTGATCTCTTCCCTGGTGCATAAAGTGGCTGCTCTTGTGTTTAAGGACTGAAACTTGTAGCTTTCTAATACAACCACTCCACTCTTGGCACAAGTGGCCAGTGATGGTAGAGAAAAAAAGCTGTCATGGACAAATCTAGAATTTTGAAAAAGGGGGCAGAGGGTGAGGTGTATCATCACCTGCGAAACATCATGTGTTATTCTCCGGTTAAAAATATACTAGAAGCTGTGCTACTGGCCTAGGGTTGTATTGAAGCAAAAACAAACATAATTTCCTTGGAATGAGTTAAAAATTATCTGCAGGGCTGTGAAATAGGAGCTTCACTACCAGGAGCACTGAACAGACAGCAGAACTGCGAAACAAAGGCTAGCTTGATTGGTGGAGTATCAAGCCCATTCAAGAGAAGAGAGGGTCATTAATGCCTGTGAAATGAAGAGTCATCCTCATACAAAAGCAGGGCTGGAAGAGACCTCCAGAGGTCATCTAGTCCAGTGGTTCTCAACTTTTTTTGTACCAGGAGCCGTTTGTAAACACTGATGGACAGTCCTGACCCTGTAAATAGTTTAAGTAGAAAATTGCAGCCCCGACAGTGCCTCTCACTCCCAACCCACTGTCCCCCTGCCCCCTATGCGTGGGGGCAGGGAGGTATGGGGAATGGAGGGCCCCAAGCAGCCCCTTGGAGGCTGGAACTCTTTCAGCTGGCAAGGAAAAACCCAGTTTCCCACATTTCTCCTTCAAAGGAGAATCCAGTTTTAAAGTTTGTTCTCAAACCTTTTCATATCTTCTTGCGACCTACAGGTTGAGAAATGCTAATCTAGTCCAACCTTCTGCCAGAGGCAGGATCATCCTTATCCAAACCATCCTATACAATCCATAATCTCAACTCTACAGAAGACTACTGTCAATCCTGACATAACACAGACCTAACAACATGGGTAACTGGGGGGCACAGTTTGTGACTGGCAGCGTCGGCAGTGTCAGTGGCAGGGTGGTGAGCAGCGACTGCCCACAGAAGCTGGTGGCAGCATCGGGAGGGAGGGGGTGGTGAGTGGTGACCACCTGCAGGAGCCAGCATTGGCGTGGCAAGTGGCGACCACTTGCAGAAGCTGGCGGCGGTGGGGGG